CTCATTAAGATTTTATTTGAATAATTAAGGGCAATAAGCAAACAAAAAGTTATTTGAAATTTATCATTTAAAAATAGCTTGAGTATTTTATTAAATATGCTATAAGTGTTGCAATTGCCTTGATAGAAAATTCTTCCTAACTTCAACATTGATTATTCAATTTATGAACAGATTAGAGGCTCAGATTCTGGCTGAGATTCAGCCGATCCAGGTCATGTGGAAGATAGACGATCGGGAACTGACACAATCGGAAAGAATTGAGATGTCCTTTATGCAGGATACCGGAGTGGCGCGTCTCGTGATCCGGAAACCCAGCCAGCCGGACTCTGGCGAGTACACCTGCGTGGCAACCGGCGAGGTGGTTGAACAACAGACAGGAAGGCGGGTCTCCAAGACAATCATTTCCAGCTCCACTCTCCTCATTGAAGGTAACTTAACATTTACTCGGATAATCTATGGTAGCAAGCACGAATATTCATAATTACCAGCAACCTCATATTCATTGGTGCATAGTATGCATGTTATATAATATGCCAGTTATTAGTAAATATAAAACTTTCCTGTCAGTTTGGACTTCTAATGGTCCTCAAACCTTCGCTAAATTTTTTCTCACATTTAATTAAGTCTCTGATAAATATACCCATGCCGATAATTTCTTTTTAGACACTATTTGTTAAGAATATTATATATACAATATTCATTGTCATGAAATTTTACACTATAAGTACAATTTAAGATTTAATAAGGTCAAACGAAATAGAGTAAATGCAACCCATATTATAGTGACTAATGCAAATTCGTTACGACTTCATTATTTCCAAGCATGCCTAAATTTCTGACAATTTAAAGAGGTCCTGGCGGAGTTATTAAAACATCATTTAGAATCCTTTATCAATATCTAGGCGAGCCGAAATTCTTTAATAATCTATATTCAGTACAAAACTAATATCCGGTATCAATAGTTTTCAGAGTAATAAATTTATAGATGTTTAATATAATTGTAATTTTTTACAGAAAGGAATATATTTTATGGGTATGATTAGACTTAAAACTGGCAATGGGAAATCAGTTATGATAATAGTAAATAACTAAATTTAAAGAGTATATGAGTTG